TAAACCGTATACGTCCCACATAAGAAGTTTTGTCTATCCTCTATTTAGAAAATAAAGAACTGTCCAGAATTTTGATAGTCACTCAGTATGAAAATAATAAAAGTAGTATAGCAATTGTCCCAATTTCTGTTTACGTAATAATTTCTACTCACTGGCATTACAATTCCATATAAAATAGATAAAGAATAAAAGCTAGTGAACAGAAAATTTGACGTATACAACAAAGTGGGACGTTTAGAAACGAGTTTAGAGAAATGAGAATAATAATGATCGGATGATAAAAGAAAAGGAGGACGTCTGTTGTCCGTTGATTATGAAAGATCATGCGAGTACAAATCGGACGGTCATGCTTGATTAGGAAGAGGACTTACGGTCGTCATTGGCTGTATCCGTGTAAGTATCCAACGGAAGCGGCTGAGACTGATCTCTAGGCGCCTCGATCAGGTTAAAATCGTGGCTACCTTTCGGCTCGCGTCGCTGACAACAAGCGAACATGATGCCGCCGCAACTGCCGTCCAGTAGGCCAGCGGACATCCAGCACATAAGAAAAAATTCGCAGCTTCGTCCGTCACCGCACAACGTATCGTCACCCTTCCACAGCGGTCTACTTTGCTGACGCGGTTCTGCACAGACACACATGCCAAACTGTTCTTGTCTAACACGAGCCACCCCTCCCCCACCCTATTCGGAACGGTGCCCATAATTTTTCAAACAAATAAGAACGTGTCAAAAAATAAGGTCTGATTTCGGTTGCTCGCTCCGTGGCTAACGTGTATGTATCTTGAGGTCTGATTACTCCAAGCCTAGCTTCAGAATACTTTTTTATGAAATCAGATTAGAAATTTTCAAATAAATGAAATTCTTACTCAATCGTTCATCGATAATTTAAGGTTGATTAAAATAAAGGAGCTTAATAAATATGTTACATGAATTACGTGGAGCTCGAATAAAGAAAAACGTTAATAATTGTGGAGGGATTAATTATTAGCATGAAAGAATATTGGCAAACGGTGTTACAGTGTGTCGCGGAATCGTAAAGGCAACCGGAAGGAACGGGTGTCTCGCAACGCGGATGGCAGAAACTGTGTCATAATAAATGTTGCGACACCCGCTGCTAGGATATTGCACCCGGCTGTGTAAATTCCTAATTACGTCCTTACGATTCTGGCAACGAAATTGAAACGCGAGGCGAATGACGGTACTAGGGATTAGCGGATGAGTTGCGCGAGACGAGCTTTCAACAGGCGCGATTTCGTTGGTAGGTATGTCACATTTCTAGCGACGATCGGCGAACGTACATACCTGACTCTAACCTGGGATAGTCGTCGAGCGCTTGCTTTCGATGATCTGAAACAATAATTGCATCACTTAAGAAAAAAAATTGATTAAATGTATTTGATAATTAAAGGGGTTGAAAGTCGTAGAAGTGTAAGTCACATTTTGTGCAAATCCTGACTTGCATTGCTTGCTTTCACTACAAATATTAACACGTTAGAAGAAAATGTAATATAAGGTTTAACTGATCTCCATAGTTTTCATTTTTTGTAGTGAAGATTCTACTGAATGTGTTAAGGAGGCAATCAAATATCGTGAAATCAGATTTTGAAAAACTTTGTTAAACGTTATAATCTGTTTCCCTTCATGTAAACCCTGTTACCTCTGATCTCGTCTTCGAAATCCGGTAAATGGTTGGACTGCTGGAAAAAGGAGGCCGCGCTGCCGGCCACCGGGGGTGGAAAATCGTTATCGCGGAATATCAATCGTGGGGTGCGATGGCCCATCACAGGTCTTGTGTTGAAATCGGCCATGGGACTTCTCCACAGAGCCTTATGCTGTCTCCAGTTGGGGTATCGTACACTGGGTGGCACGCCGATGTTCCTCCCAATCGGAGGGCCACCACCCTCGAACATGTAGCCAGCTGGGCCGGTTGGAAATCGAACATATCGACGTTTTCGAACCAGATTTAATGGAACATCGGTTCGACTACCGTTGCTTCTCGTCTCGACGTATACGGGACTGAGCGTTGAATCGAATTTGTCTAGACTCGCTCCTGGCTCTTGCTGACTGGTGGCACGGTTCGAGGAGATCACGAGGACTATTCCCATGAGCAACCATTGGCACGGCCTTGCTACACCCATCGTTTTCCTGTAACACAATCATGTCTCGTGAGTAAATTAAATTTTTATACCATTTAACACTGGAACTATCGATTTCTTTTTATATGTGCAATTGTCCACACGAAACGAGTCATTTTGACTCGTTTGGCAGTTCTAGTATTAATATTTGTGTGTACAAGGAATCTTGTACTGAATTGTTTGAATTTTTCAAAGATTTGTAACTGAGATTAGACCAAAGTGCTGAAATGTTCAAACCAGAGATTAGATTAAAACCCAAGATTTGGAACATATCTTGTTAAGCATTTCAGTCGATCTTTATCGTTTTCGTGGAATATGTAACAAGATCATAATGAAAGTGAAGATGCTTAAAATAGACCATTCATCTGCATTATAAAGATCTTTATTCTTTCGTTATTTATACCGTGAACATGTAAAAGAAGGGTTCAGATTTTCTGACCAGATTAAGCATGATTCCTTTAAAATCTTTTAAATTTCTGTCAAACTGCTGTTCCTCATTTTTATTTGCGTCGTGCAAACCGGCGAGAAATTCTGCCGAGCTATTTCCCCACCCGTGGCTCTTATCTTATCTTCGTCTTGCGCAATTTGTCAAACACGTTTCTCCTCGAGGTAAAAGGTAAACGAGATGGCAGGAGGCAAGAGATTGTCCGAAATGAAGCGTACCGTGACAAAAGGGCATAGTCCTCAATTCCCCGGCTACGAGAATAAAAAGCAGAAACAGAATCCGTCGGGTCACAATAGAATTCCAATAGCCGCAATTATATCGGCGTCACGCGAAATAATTAAACTCTCTCTCCTCTCTGTGGCCGCTTCTAATCGGACGTTCCACTGATTTCTAGAGCAGCTTATACCCATCGTATTTTCTCTCCGATCTCTCACCGATCCGTTGGAACCAATTTTCCGGAAACAGGAGAAAAAGGGAAACAAAGTCGCGTGACCGGAGTTAACGAGCCACGAAACCGACTTCTCTCTTGTTGGCGAGATATTGAAAAGCTGACTCCGATGCACGCGAGTCACCTACTTCTCTCGATTCTTTATTTTCTTTATTAAATCTTCATGCATTTCGATGCTACGTTCTTCCAACTGTTTCTAATTAGTTTGGCAAGCTCGATTAATGCAATTAATAAATAATAATTAATAAATTAATATACAAATAATAAATTGTTAATAAACAATAATAAATACAAATAAATTAATATACAAATAATAAATTGTTAATAAACAATAATAAATACAAATAACTAATAGAACAATAAATACAATAAATAATAGAATTCTCTGAAATATTTGTTACTCTTCAATAAATTTCGCAATAAATATAAAACGAGAAATCAATTGAATGCAGGAAACAATTTTATTCTTGTGTTTCGTTCAACAATGGTTAATCCGTTGAGCTACTCATCCCGGAAACCCGGGAATCATCGTAAGATAGTAGAAAACGAGTTCCTGGTGCGGCGATCGCTCGGACGAATTCTTGTTCTTCTTCTCTCGACAGAAAATAAGTACGTTGTTTACGTCACCGTAACGGGTGAAAGTAAAAAGAGGCATTGCACAGTGAGAGCCAAAAGCGAGCGTACGTACATTTGCCAAATCTGTCTGTTTCATGGTACAAGTGACGGATTATTGAAACGCATAGTAAAAAGCATACGTAATTGCATAGGAAAGTAATCGTGAGTTATTTTATGAATGCGAATGAAACACGTTGCCAGAGATAACATAATAAATGTTTCTATTATAGAATTTGAAATATGAGAATTTCGATTAGGGAATTCATGTAGGCAAATGTTAAATAAAATAATTAGGGGTATAGTATTTGAGGAAAAATTAAATCTTTTTCAAAAAACTTTTCCTAACAATTTTTTCGCTAACGTCAAGCAACGAGTAATTACCACCAAAAACAGCAATTACCGACTGTGTCCTGAGCTTCATTGGGCCCCATTTGCTGTCCCAATGATTGCACAGGAACTGCCATTCTTTAGTAGCATCTCCTTGGTGGTGCAAGGGTGCAACGTAGGGTTCTAACGAGAAACGAGGCGGGCGAGGAAATCGATGCGAAGGGTGCAAGATTCTTTCCTGCGGCCGACCACTTCGTGCAAATTAGTATTAAAATATTCATTGTTCAAATTATCCCTTGCTTCGACAAGTTTCACTCAACTTCAAGCAGTGAGACAATAATTATTATGTCGAATGGACTAGGGACAAGGTGTTTCGTTTTCATATGATTAGAAAACAGTTGCTAAATAAGCTTAATAAAACTTTGACTTATTAACTATACTAACAAATCGTTATTCTGTTAATCAATATTTTTTTATTACTGACATTATAATAAATAGGATAATATAATCGTCTAATCAATATAGTAGAACATTTAAGTATATTATAATTAAAATCGCCTACTCTATTGAATCACCGTTGAGCATTAAATTTCGTACTCCCACTATTCCTCTGGGAATATAAAAAGAATTGAAAGTAGAAAAAGAATTGACGACAGTAGCACTAGTGAGACAGTAACGAGCGGTCCTTCGGGTCGTTGTGGGTTCAGTTTTTAACTCAGCGACTTAAAGGTTGCATGGACTCAAGGGATTCTGCACTCATTTCGCACGCACATATAGAAAATACATATTTATTCTAACTACATAGTGGCGACGCACAGGAAAGTAGAAAAGGTAGAAAGAGAGAACGTGTTACATTTTCTACGTATTTTGTACGTGTGCCAAGTGAGTCCAGAAATACCATTATATGTATTCACTTTCTTATACTTTCCTACAGTAA